CAACCATGGGCATTGCATACACACTCAGGTACTGTCTATAAGGGAAGCGCACTCAGTGGGAGCCAGTTTCACAGTTTATATTCAAGATGCTGTTACAAATGAAAAAAATATGAAATAAACTACAAATAAGCATTAGCTGTTAACATTACAGTGAACCTTTAAAAATATCAGGTCACACAAGCTTTATGTAGAAAGTGCTATATACTCTACCCAAGTGCATACCACTGTTTCATCTAGCCAAGCCAAGAAAAGCTTCATCTTCAACTATTTCACAACTTTGCAGCCTTATTTTTCTATGGAGATATTCACTGCTTACACAAAGGAAGCTCATACTCGCATCACACACTAGACACACAGGTCAAGAAGTATTCCTGAAGCCAGCATAACCAAGTGGACAAAGTCAGGCTTTTCCTTTATTATCAGCATTGGATAAAGATGCTTTTAATTTCTATCAAACATTTGAGACTTCTTTAATAATTCATAACTGGACACAGTTAATGAAATGACCTACTGATTGTTCTTTGTTAACCTGTGTATTAACTAACCATAAAAAGCTTTGGCCTAGCAGAAAACATCCCAAATTCTCTCTCTTTAATCCTCATGGAATGTAGCAAGTTTTCTTTGTCCCTCAGGAAGACTTCTACCCCAAAGCAGGAGTTGCAGTGCTGATAACACCGCATTTAATCAGACAGTGTGCTCTCCGATACACAGGGCACAACTCTTACAGTTTCCTACCAATACATAAATTTATCCTTAAATTTGAACGAAACTACTAATGGCCTGTGCAGTAGAACTTCTGCACTTTTTGGTTTACAGTATGTAAAATCAGTTTTATGGAAACAATCACATGATGGTGTTGTCCATAGCGCTTAGTGATTAGGCTGTAGGCACACAGTCACTTCTTAACTGGCTACAAGGATACTATAGGCTCTCCAGCCTATCATAGCTTAGGAAAATGTGCTTAGCTATATTTACCTCTGTGAAACTGCAGTTCAATTCATATTTGAGTTCAAGTTCAAGTTAAACTAGTTAAGAACACAATAACAAGCTTCTCTTCACTGAGGCAGACTGCTCCAAGTGATAAAGTAAACCTTAAGGAGTCAGGGTCAGTGGAACTGAAAATTGGCTTTACACTTTCTATCCTGAGCCACCTTAACTACACCACTAAAACAAACACACAAAGCTAATATTCACATCCAGCAGAACTAAGACATCTTTTTTTGCTTCTATTTAGCCAGGAGGTTGGTTTTTTTTGGTGTTTTTTTTTTTTTTTGTGTATGAGGTGCACTAGTCATGAAATTATATTATAAATTATAAAATTCAGACACAATACTGTATTCTGTGCTCCACATTGAACTGTGTATGTAGCACTGAAATAACAATTCATGTTGGTCAGTTATAACATTATATGCATGAAAACTGCTGCTCAGAATAAATCTTGTGTTATCTGGATTGACATGGAATAAAGGCTTTAGTTCTGTAGACATCCTGACATTCTACACCATATTAAATAGACTTAGTTAACACCATAATGAAACTTGTGCCATACTTTCCAACACTGAGCAGTTCCATCCTAAAGATCTTACCAGTGAGAGCAAGACGGTTTGATCTGTCATTTTCTCTCTGCCAAGACCAGCAAAGTCACATATCTCCACTGTGCTAAGGAAAACTATAAACAAAGGCACTCTTTGAGCCTGAGAGCAGTACTCCCATTTATCTATACAGGGAACTAGGTCAAAGAAGCCCCAAGGCCTCTCTGAACTACGTAAGCAAGCAGAGGCCCATAAAGGGATATTTCTGCAGCTGAGAATCCCTTGTGCAAAATAACAGCCAATTAATAGTCTTTTCAAGACACACCCGTGCACTGGATACAGGAGAAAAGGACAATGTCCAAGTTACTCCTTAGTTCAAGAAACATCCTGTTGGCTTGCTAAGTTAGTTCAAGGAGAAGAAGGGAGTCTATACAAAAGAGAGCCCAGTGGATACCAGAGGAGAGCCACAGGCTACTATTTACTGCCAGCTGTAGCAAACAGCCAAGCATTTTACCTATTGGGGACTGAAAGGAGACCAAACTAATTTCAGAATTGTTACAGTCCAATTATTGTTTGGTTGCAGTGTACTATCTCAAATTCTAAATACAACCTTGCAGCTATATGTTTCTATAACCCACTGCCAGTCATGGGCCAGCCAGTCATCTCCAACTATATTTTCTTACAGCAGATTATAACGAATCAGGAATTTCATCAGACAGTTTATCAGAAAGATAGAAGACGAAATTTCTCTTAGATGCAACATAGAAACCACTTGCTTACATACTATTAAGAGTGCATATATACAGGAAAACAAATAAGAAAGAAACAAAATACAACCTGGCACAAAGGAAGAGACAATTCTCTTAAAGCTCAGCATCCAGGAGTGCTTCAACCCAAATAAATGTTGTACAAAAACAGGACTGCAGCTTGGGAATCACACTGCATTTATGGAAATGATACCAAGGCGTTCAAATTTCTCCATTTTCTCCAGGAGCGCTGCTTCCTACATACTAGAAAATTGTATCAATAAACAAACCTTTTCCAGCCTCCAATGAAATGTTTAGGAAATCTTAGCACCAGGGCTTACTCTGCCTTCTCAATTCTTTTCAAAAATACTATTTCCAGAACAACTAGTTTCAGCTTCCCCCATGCTTCCCCAATTTTAAAAGACTTCTTATCACAATTTTATGTCCAAGTTAATTTACAAATGCACAGCGGGGTGCTAAGAGAACCAATCCTTAAGACAATGTTTTTTTTCCGAAAAGCTATGGGATTGCTTTATGTAAGAAAAAATCCCATATACATTGTAGAATACATAGGTATAAATACTTGATTCAGCAATTCTATAAAAATTAAGAAGTTTATTTTCAGGGAGAGTGATAAATACCAATTTCAATATCAGCATAATTCATGCAAACATTTACTTATTAATTTTTTTAATAAATTAGCCTTGTGAAGTACATCTTCCCACATGCCTGAGCACAAAACTACCATAAAAGTCTGTCTTTGATGATTTTGGAGAGCACATAATTGCACATTACAGATGAAGATGCAGCAATAACAAAACTCATGACAGGCTTGTACTCAGATCATTCTAGCCCATGGGCCTTCTTGATGCAATTCACATCCCTCTGCTGCATCTCCTCCCTGGAAGTTCTAAGTAGTACAACTGCTTTCTCTGTCAAACCTGAAACAACCTTCTCCCTCTGAGCAACCCCGGTGGCTCTCTCTAGATACATCCAACGTAAGTTAGGTTTTAAGCACAAATCTTCCCCATGTATTTCTGCTTGCCAATGCTGGAAAAACAAGAGGCCAGCAATCCAGAGTGCATCTGGTAATGCCATCCTTACTGTTTAATAGGCATACCACACTAGAGGTGACACCCTAACCCTGGTGCCTTTCCCTTATGCTAGTTTCCAAATATCTGTTTAACGTCAGGCAACATAAGATCACAATTAACATAACTAGTACTTTTTGGTTTTACAGGAATCTCAATGCCAAAATATTGCATAGTAAACTGATCAGCCCTCTATGCACACAATATGCTGGTTTATAGGAGTACCTATTGCTTTGCATCAGTACCACATTCAGCAAGCACTAAAACTAGCTTTATACATTTAAAGTACTTTTAAAGAGCTTAGAGCAAAATGCACTTCCCCCAAAATAAGACAAAGAATTTAATAATCATGCCTTAGAGCCTCATAGCTATGTAATTTTCCCCCAAAAAATTTGTATATTAAAACACCACTTCATCTCCAGAAACCATGTTGAAGCTCAAACAGGTACAGGGCCTCCCTATGCCTTCTCACATTATTATTAGTTAGTATACAAAATCTGCCTGAGTCTGGGGACAAGGCATTTTAAGAAATCAGGTACTAATAATAATCACAAATCAAAGCCCAGGGACATTCTGAAAACTCTACATATTGTTTAAACTGAATTTCAGCAATATTTTGAAGGTGTAGAAAAACAGCCAGCTTGTTCTTCTCAGCCTCCCTATCCAGTCTAACACATGACCTTTTCCCTTATATTTATCTTTCTGGAACACTTGTCCCCCATTACCTCAGCCCATCCCAAAACCCTGTGGCAACATCCCTATTTGCAGCAGCCTTATTTTTTACCTAGTTTTTGGTGGGAGTTGGACCTGAATTTTGGGTTTCTTTCATGTTAATTTCCTCAAGAAAGAAATTTTCTCCTATTAGTATGAGCAGGGCCTAGCACAGAGGATTCTAGACTGGATAACCTCTGCATTGTACTAAATAGCACATTTTTATGGGTTAAATTAATGGGAAAATGGGAGTAAGAGCTCAGTATAGTAAAATAAGAGAGAGAAATGCCAGTTAAGAATCCTACTGTGCCCACACAGAGGAGTACACTAGTGGGCAATTAATATAATTTCTTTATATTAGAGGTGGGGTGTGTGAACAATGGAATAACACATTTATGCAGTTTTGATAGGCAATGTCTAGAAGTAAATATTTGTAGGCTATCAGCTTAGAAGAAAATAAGATATTTCAAATGGAGATTATTGCAGATATGAGATAAATAAGGGTGTGCAAAATGAACATTTGTCCAAATCTATAGGAATTACATAGTCAGAAATCTCCTTAGACAGAGAAGATACCACAACTTCTCCCATTAGCAGTACCAGTTCTATGTGGATAAAAGGAGTAAGTTACCACAGTAACTTTTGCTAGCTTATTTTTAGATATAACTTGAGCAGCAACACCATACATACTGGAATACAGCATGCCACTAGTAAGTTCCTACATCCCTGTAGAGCCTAAACCATGAGGGCAAGGACTTAAATAGAACATTATGTACAGCAGCAAGCAGAAGAAATGTGTTGTAAGAAGACAGGTTAACCATAGTATGCCTTACAATGAGCCATATAGTAACTAGATCAATAATAATTAGGATCTGAGAAGTACAAATTACAATAAGGAAAGGTAATAATGGATTACTTACCCTGGTATTGTAGCTGCTTCAAGTTCCCATCTCTTTAGCTTCATAACTGCAGGTACATGACACAGAGCAGTCTGCCAAGCATATCACAAAGTCCAAGTTTTCAGGAAATAAAGCTGCACAAGTAAAACAGTACTTCCCCAATTGTTCATTTATCCAACATTAAGACAGGAAAAAATCACATCTGTTAAGACTGAACTCCAAATTACAAACTACAAGAACAAAGCACAAAAGAGTACTGTCTGTGTTCACATGTTCTGCAACCTGACCCAGGAGATAAATTGGTTACAGGTGAGACTCCTCAGAGGCCCTCATCAAAGGAACCTGCTGAGCTTCACCAATGCCTCTTATTTTATATACTGGGGCTAAATCAAATATCTGCTCCTAGTCTCTTGGTTTTGCTGTTGAAAGCACAAAGTTCTACTATTCCCTTCTCCTTATCAAATCTTGGCATCAAAAAAGTTTGAGGTTTAAAATGAAGCCTACAAGACTTTTAAGTTACAGTATAGAGAAAATAATAATAAAAAAAAAACAAAGAAATGCGCTTCCAGGTATGTCAAGGCTCAGAAAAAAAAAGGAGAGTTTTGCTTTGGGTTGTGTGCTTTTTAACATTATAACCTTTATATCTGACTACTGGCAATGTTCTCTGATTCCACACAGTAAACACATACAGACCCCACACACACTCAAACTCCCTTGATTCAATTTACAAAGAGATGAAGAGCTTGACATATTCAGTAGATTTTGTTCCTGGTCAAAATCCTTCTGAAGTAATGTCTAAACTTTCTTGCAGCTAATATCTCAATAGTCTGTCTGTTTAGATTTTCTGTACTCTTACCACAGATTAAACACTCAACATCTAGGCCCGTGCAGCCTCAGAGCTCCAGTTCTGCACTTGCAAAACTGGTGCCAGGGAGTGGTAATCATATTTCAATGACGTTATTGACTGCAAATAATTAAGCCAAGCATGACTGATAAAGCTTCACTAACCACTTCTATTTATAACACAGCACCATTCCATACCCATTCAGATTTAGCTACATGTGGTTCTTGTGTGAAGCAGGGCTTTACTGCCTCTTAAGTCTTGGGGGCTTTTACAGTAAGTGGGAATTATTCTTTCATAACTGGTCATAATGCCATTTGGAAACTTCTCAAAGCTTCTGGGATTTTGGGAGACTGCAACAGAACGTTGTTGTTTGCAAGCAGTGTATTTTTCATTTTCTCGGTTTGGATTAACATATACTGCCATCATGTGGGCAGAAGTAAGAAGAAAAAAGAAAAAAATGAAAGCCCCTCACCTTGAAAGCCTTACCTTCATTTTAAAACCTTCGTATTACCAATGCAGACACTAAATCAAGATTATTGAAACGCTTAGGGACATGGTTTAGGGGTGGAATTGGCAGTGCTAGGTTGGACTCCATAAATCTATCATTCGAAGAAAATCCTGGCTTTTTGTTTGCTTTTGTTGTCCTTTCACAAAAGAATTAAGCCACTGCTTGAGGACTTAGTAGAAGGACCATAAAGCTATGCCGCAGCAGCACAGTAGCTGACTAGCACAAGTGGAACTATACCAGCTTCAGCACAGTATTTTAGCTACTTTTTTTCTCCTGCTCATTGACTGTAAACCTAGACATGACCCACATGGGGCTGGAGATTAGTGACTAGATAAAGAGAATGTAAGCAAAAGATAAGCCCCAATGCAGCAGTGCAAATGCTCAGTTTGCATGGCAGTGCCCAATATTACCGTCTTTTAATCCATGCACAAAAGAAACCTATCAGGCGAAAAACCAGTTCCTTCTACACATCACTCCCTCTTACCTATGGGTTCACCCTTTTCCCTGAGCACTGCAAGAGTTTATTTACCTCTTTCAGCATTAGGAACTTAAACTTGAAGTACTGTTGCAAGAGATCCAGAGCATAAAGGATGGAAAGAAAAACAATGATTCAAAAGGATATATATGTTGTATTTTACAAACATACCTTGAAAGAAAAGCAATAGAGAATTTAGGCATATCAAAAATGTCTTACCATTTTGAGGAGCCTTGTCATTAGAGGAAAGCCCCAAACCCTTCAGTTTTCAAACTGCATGTACTTGTATGGACTAATGCTATTTAAAAATATAAGACCTGTATGGTTTAAAAGATAATATAAGCATCTGATATTGCCAAGAACCCCAGCCCCCACGCTGAAATAAGAATACACTTAAATTCTAGAAATCATCCTGGAAATAGCAGCAGTTTTCAAGTTTAACTACACAGTAGAAAAATAGGGGTAGGGTGTTTAAATCTGTATATTAAATGTAGCTTACCAAAAACTAATACTTAAGTCTCCACTAAAGTACTAAAGTACCCCAGTTAAAGCTGAATTTACCAGCTTCATGGTCTCTCTGCACAGCCATTATAAGCTACTTTTTGAGGTCCATCACATGGAACCCATTAGCGGCATTTGCCTTCACAATGAGAAGCACTGTGTTCCCGAAGAGTCCCACTGAGTAATTTGCTTCTCATACAGAGCTCAGTACATCAGGATCAAACAATTACATAGTAGAATATAAATAATATGTTGATCCCCCTAGTGTAACAGCTTATCAAGGAGTAATATGAAATCCATTAAATATGATTCTTATTCAAGAATCTTACCTTTTGCAGAAAATAACCTTTAACACAAGAAAACTATATCCAAACTGCATAGGATCTGAGATTGTATGCTATAATCATTTATAAACAAACCTACATTGTTTAACATAAGTAACTTAGACAAAAACACGCATATAATGTCACACAGGTATTACTTGAGAAATCAACATTCACCAACAAGACTGAAAGAATATTTCTCTCCACATTTACCAACAATGGTTACCACCAGGTTTTTGGTTTACGGTAACTATTGATAACTATTTTGTTAGGAAAGAAGGATTAAAAAAACTTGGCCAGTCTAAGAGTTTCATTATTAAGCTTTTTTTAATTATTTAGTATATAGAAACAATTTTTCATTCATTCATTTTCTGAGTGCCATTTTCCTCTTTTCTTAAAAGCAGATCTTTTCCTGCAGCTGCCTTTTAATGAAGTTATTTAGTTGCTTCAGAACTTGTCATGTCATGGATTGCTATTTTACAAGGTATAGCTAGAGGTGAGAAATAACTGAATTTATACCAGATGTAATTGTTAATATGAAAATAATTTCTTCAATTTAATAGCATTAATCTAGATTAAGATCAGGTTACCTTTCCTTTTCACTAAAAGTACCAGAATTGTTCTCTTGTTTGCCTTTAGACATAGGCATAACAAACTACACTAATGGAAAAGAAAATTTAAACAGATGAGCATTAAAACAAAAAGACAGGAAAGTTGCAAAAGCATAGGAGAATAATGAAATATGGGAGAGCTATAAACTCTAAAGCAAGAGTTCCATCAAATACACTGACAAATTAGCTATCTTCAATAAAACATGATGTTTCATGGAATTTCTGTCATTAAGACTGAAGTGCAAGCTTGACAGAAAATTCAGGACTTCTAACTCATGGATCAAGCCTATACATAATACAGTAAAAAGAAATGGGAAAAACAAGCAAGCAGCACTTATTTCTGCTATTCACTTCAGGGTCACTCAGTCTTAACACATTTCATCAACATTCTCGTACTCTCCAACTGAAAATATCTGGATGAAAAGTAGATTGAACAGTGGTGCTGGAGTGAGTCCAACATATGTTGCTCGTTTGCCAATATTTGTAAGCACAAATAATTCTCAAAAAACAGTGCATGAAGTTCAAGGAAAACAAATACTAAGCCAAATATATCACATCCCTCTCTACAATTTCTATAACACAGGAAGTTAAGAATCTCCTCTGGTTTGGAAAGAGCCCTATAGATACACACATACTGCATTTTCATATCAAGAAATATATTTTTATCCAGTTTAAGAAGGATTTACGTAAAGATAGGACAGAAAGGCTGTTTTTAAAATATTTAAAATTGCTAACTGGATTTCCACGCTTGCAGCTAAAAGACTAAGGAAATTATTTTTCAGTTTCAGTGAGATTCATTTTTTCCAGCTACTTCCAAGTAGAATAATATATGGATACCTTGTTAATTATCTAAGGATGCTATCACAAAACCTGGTAGAATATTTGACCCCGATAGACAATTTTGTTACATTTTGTCACTATGACTTGAACCTACATTGAAATACAGGCCCTCCAGTGAGCTGGAGACAAAATTGCACTGCAACCTCAAAACAGAAGAACAGCTTAACCAACAGGCAGAGAAGTAGCCAGTGCTTCAGGATTCTTAAGCAGACTGCTACCTAGATAAAACATATAACAAAGAAAACATAACTCTGTAGTCCTTTTTTATATATTTCATTCTAAGACAGCAGTCTGTGAGGGTCTAAACAGTTTTGGGGTCAGTACCTTCTTACCTTGCTTTAACTGGTAATAGCCATTAAAAGCATTCTTTTTTTTTCCCCACCTCAGTCAAACCACAACATGCAGCAATGGTGAGACAAATATATCATGTTGGCCAATCAAATCAAACAGAGTATTTCCCCTTCTTCCTATAAAGAATTAGATAAATTTCTGTTCTTTTTTCCTTACCTTCCTAGATGTGAGCCCATATTTCATACAGAGGTTCACAGTGGTGTCTGGCCAGGTTCAGTTAACGACCAGAGCTGGTTGAAAAACAGGCAAAAGCTGAACAAATCTAAGAGGATTCATCGCAGCCCTGAGAACTACAACACTTGAGCTGAAGCACCAGCCATAGGGAAAGTTCAAATGGGGCTGTAGCCACACTTGCTCTGTGGCCTGCAGCTGAATCCCTCCGCAGGAAATTTGTCCACAGCTACAGGAAAGAGAGGAGTTAATATTTTACAATCTTTATATACCTTAACTCTGACCATCTGAATTTGGCTGCTTGCTCACTGACCACTTACGCAAAACTGAGCAAGCTCTGGGCAATGTATTGTGCTCCCACTTAAGACGTTGATTCTGCTGTGCACAGGGCAGCCTGTGGGGCAGAGCTTAGACCAAAAGCTGAGGTAAGTGAAGTTTGCCAAACTCAGACTGAGATTTGCATTATGATAAGAACAGGTAGGTTTGACAAACTGTTCAAAAAGCCCAGAGCTAGATACCACTTTCTGAAATGAAATCATACATTTCAGGGATATTTTAAGGATTGGGAGCTATATCCAGGTCTGAAACTCTCCAGTAAAATTAATCCCCTGAAACCTTAGTTAGACAAACAAATACTGGGGCAGATAATATCCTCCTGTAAATATAAGAAGAGTTGCAAAGGTACAGAAAATATAGCTGTTAATAAAAAATGCAAGTCCATTTTCTACTCTTGCTTTCTCCTCAATCTTGTACTTCACTCCCTCTCACCACCTAACAACTTGGGTCTGACTGGTTAATCTGTTTCCTGGGGTGATGAAAGATAATGATAGGTGCTTATGTTATAAACGATTAAGAACTATATTGAGTTGTATACACAACAAGGCTAAAACTGAAAAGGCTGATTAAGAAAACATTTTTTTAAGGTTTTGAAATTCCTGCCTGAAGGATAAGGTTATTTCTAAAAGGACATGCTATAACAGGTCTTCATTTAAGTCCTATTTACCCAATTGTAGCTACTTAATTTTTGAAAATCTGTGGTTTTGTTGTTATTATTTATCTTGTTATTAATCTCCTAGAGGTCAAGACCTAAGGACAATTAATAAAACATGAGCCCAAATCTACTGTCTACACTTGAATACATAGAATGTATTCACAGTAATCCATAGAAAGGCTGTTTAAAAGGCAGAGATCTGGACAAAACCTTAAATTCTGTAGCATACCACTAGAGGGTACACAAGGCTACTGCATTGT